AGAGAGAGAGAGAGAGAGAGAGAGAGAGAGAGAGAGAGAGAGAGAGAGAGAGAGAGACAACGATAAGATAAGTATACGCGGAGAAGATGAAACGGTACAACCGCGAGATAAATTTTCATCGGATTGTAAGATCAAAGAAAATTATAGATAAATTTAATCGGAAAATATATTTATATTGGGAATATCGGATTGAATATAAATAAACTGGTTGAAAGCGTATATATTTCCCAGCGTGGATTTACGCTTTGTTTGGTACAAAACGGCGGAATATAAATTAGACTCTCGGCCCGAGGCGTTAATTAATATAGATAAGCCAGCGGTTACACGGCTGTTGCAACGTTGCAACAAATGTAATTCATCGCGCTCGTAGACGCGTGACTTGCCGCGTCGTTATTTCCGCTTTGCCGCTTTCTCCTACAACGCACAGAAAATAATCACGAAGAATATCCTGTCCATCCTCCTCCTCCTTTTCTCATCTTCCTCATCACTCCCGTCGCTGTTTCACACGCGCGCGTTGCGCTTTTTCGCCATAAATCAAACGGCGCGTCGTCGCGGTCGATTTTCGAAAGCGCTTTGAAGGACGGCCACGATTACGTATAATAAAGACGAACGATACGCGCGGCCGATTCGTTGCGCCGCTCGATCCTGGAATCCTGTAAATTGCGCCATTCCGCTTGGCAATATCCTAACTCTCCTCCGCCCAGGGCCGGTTAAACGCGCGCCGAACGGGCGGAATCCAACGGGCGTTTGTTTTTCGCGTGCATATTCCGCTCAAGTTCCCGAACGGTGAATTCGACGAAGGCTCGCGCGCCCGTAGAAACGGAACGCCAAGACGTGCTTATATGCCGACGCGGTTGTTATTCGAGTGTCCGTCCGGAGAACGTGCGGGAGAAAGTATGCCGCGTCAGCGTAATTGAGTGGCGATCCGCGGTGGGCGAGCGCTGCGCGTCTACATGCGAGGATAATTACTATAAAACGACTAGCGCGAGCTAGAGACTGTAGACGCGTGTAAACAGACACGCGGGAAATGTTTCACCCTTTGTGGACGCGACGCTTCGCGACATGAGTGTTTACCGTTTGCTATTGTGTGCAGAAGATTATTTAGAATGCACGTCTCGATCGTATCTATATTTGTGAACGAACACGGTTGGCGACGAACGTGGCTTGAAACGGGTCGGTGAAAATATTTAGTCGGAAACATCCTGACCGCACACGTCGCGATTTAAATGATCGAAAACTGATCGGTTACACTGAGAGAAAAATTCGAATTTTAACCAGCGAAGAGTTGAGAGATACTTCTCATGATGAGGTTCGCCGCGATTAACGCATAGAATAAGGAATTTCTTTCACCAAATGTCTAGTGAAATATGAACGGACTAGAATTCTACGTTCAAGACACAAGACACAAGAGTCGATAGGATTCTAGTTAATCAAGCATGATATCTGATTGAGCAGAACTCGCGCTTAACAATTGCAAGTTCTGATTAATTAGAATCTTGTTAACTTGAGCACAGAATTCTGATAACTTTAACTGGAATGCGTTGATATTTCACCAGGCATTTGATTTATCTAGACAAATTTCTTTTTTGCGTTATCTATGAAACATTTTTGTTTTCATTTATCTATTTTTCGTCGTAATATATATCTTGCTTACGAAAGTATCAATGATTCGGGATGAAATTAATAGTGAGAATAAGTGAAAACGCGGCGTATCGTTGCGTCGTTACGAAAACACTTCCCGTGTGTTTCTCCGTCCTGTGTTTCCTTTTATTTTCCTTTCCTTTGCCGGCGATATAACGGTAAGGCGTTCGAGAGAGCGTGCACCTCTCTATGGAGGTGAATAAGGCGAGGAGGAGAGGAGCGCACATTCCGGGGAATCTGGATCACGTACAGATGGCATGCGTGATATTCGCGTAAATGCACCGGTCCCTGGGAGGTTCTCGCGCTAAACCGTGTCTTCGAGTTTGAACGAGAATCGACGATGCGCATTTACATAATTGTCGCTGTTATTGTGAGCGAATAGCGACAGCAAAGGCGTCCGGCGTAATTTGAGCGAGTTTCTATCACTCTTTTGAAGAGTGATAGAAAAGTAATCGGCCGCGATTATTTAATTATCGTCTGATAAGTATCGTTGACGAGACAAGTAGTATTTGCGGAATGAGAAACAAATTCGGAAAAATTAAAATACCGAAGGATTATTTCGATACATTGCTGTTTTATTCCGTCCTTTGTTACCATTCGAATATGCTCGGTTTTTATACCTTTCATTGGTAACAATCTTCCATAATTGATATCGTCGGTTTCTATTTTCCACTCGCGAAAATAATCGCTTTTTGTACAATTTTGAACTCAAACAAATGTAAATTCGCACACGAAAGGGTATGACGATATGGACCGGTGCATTTCGATTCGATCGTACGCGTCGATGATCACTAATTGAAAAACGCCGTGTTTCGCGAGCGCGCACGCACGCGCACGCCATCTGGAACGGCGGCGTGGAACGAGTGGCGCGCAATGCATCTTGGCTGTTGTTAACGCCGTGCGTCTTAGGCGAAAATCGACGAGGAGTATCAGCAGCAAAAGACGTTGGAAAAACCGGACATTGAGGAGTCGCGAGTGCGTACGAGTAGTGCCGTGTCGTTGATAGTGCACAAGGATGACGAGGTGTTGGAGACAGTGCCACCAGCGCCCGCGGATAGGCTGCCGTTGACCGTCGGCGGGGAGGACAAGGATCCGGTCGCCAGACAACGGAGGGACAAAGTGAGAGAGGTGAGTCTCATTGAGAAAACTCAGTAAATATCTCTGCGACTCGCTTCGCAATCTCCGCTCCACAAATATTGAAATGTCGCATTTTGCACACATTGAATTTCCGTATGTTTGCACCACACACTTTGGTTAGGTTAAGCTAGGTATTCTCTCTGATATATTTCAGAGAGAGAGAGAGAGAAGCGCACTGTATTTGATAGCAATGGAAAAGCAATAGTTATAACAGTTATTTCTTAGTTACTTAGGAATGTATAATGTTTATTTGTATTGTGGAATATTTTGCCATCGAATATAAGAAGTATAAAGATGTGGATGAATTTAAGGCTAATTTCTATTCATATCATATATTAGGTCTTCTTTAAGTTGTCTTATTTAATTTATAATTATATAATATCTATATAAGATGTAATATATTATTAAGGTTATATGCATATAAATATGACAAGTTTAGTCGTCAATATACTTGCGTTTTACCCTTATCTAACAACCCTTATCTAAAATAACAACGAATAGAAATTAATCTTAAATTTATGCTGTATTTTTGCATTTCTTATATTCATTGATAAAGTATTCCAGGGGAGTTACCGAGGGAAGTAAAGTCTAAAAAATTTCTTGAAAAAAAACAATTCCACACATAGGCAGCACAAGTAGATCATCTATAGTTCTAGCGTTTTTAGCCCTGTAAAAGTTAAAGAGAGAAAGAAAGAGAGAGAGAGAGAGAAAATTTTTCCGTGGAAAATTAGAATAATGTATGTCAGTCATGAATATATTCTTAATCGCTCGTCAATATGTGTGTGTGTGTATGTTAAACGAATCTACGCATAATGGATTAAATATTTCATTAGAGGGAGGAAGAGGTTAAATCGACCGAATGCATTGAATTCCAACGCGGGGATTTAATTAAAATTTACATTAAAATTAAATCGCGATGTAATCGGAACTATCGAGGCATTATTACGTACACGGGAAATTTTTGGTCGGCTATAGCGCGCAGTAACCGAGGATTTTTATCTTTCTCCTCTCTCCCTTTTTTAATTTCGGAACTTAATTAATTTCTTTTTTAATTTCAAAACGTAAAATCATTTTTCGCGTCGGGACTGTTATTTTGTTGCTTATTTCGAGTAGGCAATTTCCGTTTACTGCGAGCTCATACAAGCTGATGTTCCACTATCTAGGCCATTTAAATCGGGTCTTTTCTATGTGGCTCGCGATTTTCCCGTGGGAAAAAGTCCCACGGCGTCTCGCGCGCCGTCGCGGAACTGCCGACATTTCCACGTAAACGGGAAAGTGAGAGAAGCCGCTTTTTCGCGGTGGTGCTTTCGCTCGTGCCGACAGCCACGTCGTGTTTCGCAAAATAATGAACCGGGATTTTTAAATTGACCCCGAGAAGTTCAATCTCCTCGCACAATGCGCCGCTCTACGCTCTGCATGCAAATTGCTTCTATAAAAACCATAGGATCATAACGAGTCGTCTGTTCAAAAAAAAAAAGGGGAAAAAAATCGCCTCCCCGCGCCGTCACACGTCGCCTGACTTGCAAGCTCCATACATATATGTATAAAACTCAATTTCAGTGCAAGTTCTGAAATTGCATAGCGCACATTGGAAGAACGACGAATCGTTTTTGCGGGGGTATCAGTTTCGCGTCAGCATATACGAATAAAAATGAGTGGCGAAATATAGGAAAGCATTTCGCGTGTTTTCTCACTCTCTCACTCTCTCTTTCTCTCTCTTTCTCTCTCTCTCTCTCTCTCTCTCTCGCCCCATCCCCTTCTATACCGTGTATGCGTCGATGTGCATAGAGAATGCGACTCGTGGATGGCGCGTTATTGATATCTGATATCACATCCGCTGTATGCGACGTCATCGCATATCTTGAGTTACCGTATCTAATCTCTCTCTCTCTCTCTCTCTCTCTCTTCTTTTTCTCTCTTTCTCTTGTTCCCACGCACGCGTTTTCCGCGCGCAATTTACGTATTGTTAAAACAATAATCTAATCAAGAATCGTCGTTGTAAACCGGCGGTGTAAACCGATAATTCGTTATATCCGCGGGTAGATACGCTGCGCGCGCGATATGCCGACATCACGCGGCCGATTTTATTTAATTTCGTTTGTCGCTTCCATTTCTCCCCGTTTCGTGTGTTTTTTTGCGCTGAATAAAAATGCATGGAATTCGCGCGGCCCCCGTATCTCGTTCGATTTGCAGTTCTGCCGCGGTATCGATTGCAGGCGCAATTTTTAGACGCATGTGTTATTTTAATTGGGAAATCGTGCGTTTACACGGAAATTTTAGTTACACATACACACGCGCGCGCGCGCGCGCCGCTCGCGATCGACGAACACGATTCTTCGCGCACTTGGAGCACGCGGACGATTTTTTTTTATTTCCTCCCTGCATACCTGTACCCTCCTGCTGCACTCCGCGGTAAAAAACGCGGGAATCGGAACCGACGGTATAATCGACGCGCGCTAATTTGCGCGCACGGCCAAAAATAATAACCGCGCGGATCGCGGCCGGCGATTAGATTTTCGCATTCGCATTCGCATGCGCGAATCGCTCGCCATTCGTCATTTGATGCGAGGCAGGATATATGGAGTCACGCGATATCCTGCGCAGAGCGCAGTGATAGCCGTGGCGTGTGGAAATATCAAATCACGCAATTTGTCGTCATTCCGTTATCCGGTATCCGCCGGAGAAAGCTGCGTCATCGCGAATCCAGAACAATCCGCAGCGTGGCGCGCGTTTTTCACGGCACATTTTAATGCCGAAATTCGTAAGCGCGCTCAATTCATCGGGCGCACGTGCGAGACGGCAAGAGAGGAGAGGCATTTGTCACTGCATTTGTTACGGCCGTATCCGCGCGCACTCTCATTCAGCCGCGTGTCCTTTGCATTAGAAAGAATCCGGTACGATGGCGCAAGTCATCTCGTTGAGAATAATGCGCGATATCGAGATTCATCGTTGTCGTTATGTCAGCGGACGCTTCCGTCGACAACAGAGCGAACGCGCAGTTACGCGCGAAACGCGCAAAACTTGCCTGTTTGGTGCGGCAACGCGCACCGCGTTTAGCCTCACGTGGATTCGCCTTTGTCTTCCTACTCACGTCTATTCATATCGAAGTCATAATTTCATAGCCGCGCTACTTGTCAGTTGCACACAAGCCGCGGGTGCCGTTCAGTAATTTTCAGCGATTCACGGCCGCGTACACTTCCGCGATTCCGGCGCTCGCGTGCAAAGGGAAATGTGCCGTGACTAGGTGAATCGCATCCGATGCTTGCGCTCGCAAAGGTGGATGGATGAGTAGCTCGTGAAAAGAAAATTCATAATTCCGCATTGAGGAAAGTCCCTCGGTTCGAACGAACGTTTGATGATTCTTAGAGAAGTAGATCAAACCGTTGCAGATCATTTATTTCTTATTTTGTCATTTTGGCGAACATATATTGATACAAGTCACATTTGGTCTCATTTATTAGGTCAGACTTTTAGTACTGTCTTCAGTGCAGAACTGCAATGTTTAGAGCAGCAAATTGAATTAACAAATCATTTCTTCTCATTACTATTATTCCATTAAGATTATCCGCTGCCCCATATCGACAAATTACTTGTCGCGCGGATGCTGGTATTTTGTTAAATTAGCAAAACCTTTTCTTTTACACGCAACGCGCATCGCATTAGCTCGACATGTACACGATACGATATTCCTACGATGTTACATTTATTTCTTCACTTTCATTTCTTCAACTCGACGGCGAGTGACTAACATAATGCACATGGACTTACGTGCAGAGTGTTGCATCAAAACATTGGTCAGTATGACGTGTTGCTCATTCGCTTCGTTGGTAAATGCGCGTGTACATGGACACAGTTTGAGCCTGGCGATATACTTGTTTGCAAACGGTGGTTCACGTTCATTTTTGTTTTTTCGTTAGGAGGAATAAAATGTTGCGAATCGTTTTGCTCATCATACTGGCTTGTATATTGATGCAGCACCCTATGTACCCGTCCGGTCTCACTGTATTCGATATCGCTCCATTATGCCGAATGCATAGCTTGAATGACAACACAACATTGATCGCGCAATCATCGCGGCCGATAGCCATTAATTGGCTGCGCATTACTTTGGAACTGGCGCGTAGATCGAGGTTGTCGATAAACAAGTGGCGGAATTAATATCATGAGCGTTTATTGTTTGAACTCTACCGATTGCGATAATGAGGGTTCAAGCCGGGCGCGTAGCGGCATCATCCCTGATGAATCGATGAATCCATCCTTCGTTCCCGTCGACACCGATGTCGATGTGACGTCGAAGTCGTCAATCGTGCGTTTAATTCTATGCGCGACAATTATCAGCCGGAGCTCCCTTTTATCATCGCGAATGGATGTTAAATTATCCGCGCGAGAATGTTGCGCGTGTTCTCTCTCTCTCTCTCTCTCTTGCTTGCTCCCTCCGCAAAAGGTCACACGTGATCGTTTCCCTGGACATTCAATACGTATCCAATTATGTCTCTGACATTCCGTTATAGGTCAATCATGAGTTCAGATAACAATCCTGTCGAGACTTCGGTCACTGACATAATCAGGATTCGAGTAGAAATTTTGCTTTCACATTGACCCTACAAATCCCGTCAGATTTGGACATCACACAGATTATTTTCTTCTATATGCATGAAAACATTATAATAAAAATTACATTAAAATTGATTTTTTTTACAATATTTTTTTATAAAGCTGGCCTATGCTAAAATTGCAATATGAATTACTACAAAAGTAATAAATTTGACCATTTACGTATACGATACAAAAGAACACTTAATTAAAATAATTGTATAATAAAAAGTCAAATATGCGTAATATTTTTTAAATAAATATGTAGTAATTATAATTCTGTATGGTTAAAGTACAAAAGTTTGGTTGTAATTTTTTCTTCGCATATCTTGATGCTACAAATGATTATTCAATGTTATTTTCCCTTTATGTTGAATTATCCTTCACAAAATATTTATTTTAGAATTATTTAGTATTCGATTATCGTGTATATATATATATATATATATATATATTCTATCTACGTTTAATGTTTATTCTTAATTTCATTAAATAATATATTAATTGTGAAACAGCTAGGATATGTATGATGAGCAAATATTAAATAATATAATAAAGATTAATGGACTGATATAATTAATGGATAAATAAAACAATACATTTTATTTCTTCATAATTTTTTTATTACTTATTTTTTTATTGGCGTTGGAAGTGCGTGTGTGTAATGAAATTTAGAATGGTTCGTGTCTCAGCTAAGCTGATTTTGTTAAAATTTTAATTAAAATTTCCATATTTCTCTCGGTTTGGCCGAACCATTTTTGACTAATTTAGCACAGATTTAAAATATTTCGGTTGGAATATCGGTTAAAGAAATTTAGAATGATTCGTATCTCTCAGCTATGCCGATTTTATTAAAATTATTTCATTATATCTTGTATTCAATTTTATTTCTTATGCATTTTTGTTATATTTGTTGATGATAGGAGAGAAAACATTAAAAAGCTATAAACTGCCCGTGAAAATCAAAGTGAGCCAAAATGAAAAAAATATGACCTTAATATTTTTTGTATTTTTACATTTGTGCCAAATTAAAAAGAAATCGGAGTGTTCCTTTCGGGTAGGTTTACTTGTCAGTTCCGGGTCGGCGGGGCATGTACCACGCGTGTTGAGGAACGTTACTTATCACATATACATTCCACGTGAATGATCAAACTATTTCGTCGGTACTTTGAGATTAGTTTCTCGTCGATATCGTGTTATTTAGCATGTCTTCGATCAAATCGTGTCTAAGCGAATGTCTGCCACGATAGAGCAGTTAGGATGTTGGGTCGAGAAGCCAGGACGAGGGGCGTAGGATGCTGGGACGCGGGCAGTGATATATTTCAAGGTGTGTCAAATCATTTATTATGTAGGTTTCCGTTATTTGCGGGTGTCTGACGAATTTATTACCGAAAGTAAAGAAATACTCAAGTCAAAATTTAGATTGACATTCATAGTTCATTGTTTGACAATTAATTGCCGCTTTATGAATCCTTAATTATTCGTTAACTCGTGTTTGTGCTTATTATATTATTTTATAAAAAAAACTTTGATTACAACAAAATCGTATAACAGTCTGTTATGTGAATCTGTAACTATTTATGTTTTCAATCGAAGATTTGATATAATTTGCAACTATAAATACCGGCTCTCGAATTCAATGTAAATTTCACAAGTGCTGATTTTTACGTCCAATAATACTCCTCGGACCGCGAGTTGGGTCTTGTTTACAGGTCTATTTTTCTTTCCCGTTCAGCTTTGTTTTTGCGCGGAATCCAAATTCAAATCTCTGTTAGTAAACGATATTATTGGATACACATCTGTTATCTTTGTCTTTTCAGCTCTCTTCCGTATCAAAACTTTAAAGAGCCTTAAATTTTCAATCGAAATTTCCAACGCTAATAAAAAAAAATATTGAAAGAATTAGGAATAAAGCGTGTTTCTTTATTTATATTTAATATTTAATATTAAATTCTTATATTTAATATTTGTTTGTCACATACTCTATCTGAACCTGAATAAATTTAGCAGATAATACATTATTGGCTAAAATTAAAAATAAAGATTAAAAATACAGGAGTAAAATGTTGAGATAAGTAATTTTACATTGAATTCTTATTGCATTAACGACAGTAAGTAACCATTCGCAGCATCAAGATAGGACAATATATCCTGCACAATAATCTCGAGATTCTTCAGTAATTTTTCAAATTTGGTCAACATTTGCGGGATTAGAGTGCAACCAAAATTTCGACTCTCGGAGACTCTTTATTCCGATCGCGAAGCTGACTTGTTATTTCACTCGAAGTCTGTTGAGGCGCAATTTATTTTTACCGACCAACAATACGCGACTGTTGTCGTCGTCGCGGCAAATGGTTTTTTGCGCGAAAACACAAAACCGCAAAGGAGCAGGAGGAGAAAACGTACAGATCCATTTGAACGCAGACGTAGAGAACAGAAAGGTTCCCGACGTAGCTGCACGCGTGAATGTTTTCATTAACGTTTTGCAATCCGCCACGTCGCACCATCACCGATCTGCAGAAACGTTGACGCGCGTAGCTTTCACCGAGGCGAATTCTGAAAACGATTTCAGCGCGCGCGTCGCCTCGCTCGGGTCATCGAACGTGTCCTTTGGTTCGGAGGTCCTCCTTGCAAACTCATTACTTGAGTGGTGCATTGGCCGCATTATATCCATTCTCGCATCGTATTGGCACGGTCACGCGCCGGTAATCGGCGAAAATTTAATTTCTCCGTCGCAAAATGAATTCTCTCGCCGACTGCCGCCCGCGACATCAACGCTGTTCCTTTGTTTTCTTTTTTGTTTTTTTTTTATGGCAATATCCTCGATAATTAATGCAGCAAATCCGACCGTTTACACATCCCAGCATCGCGTTGCGCGTTATTTTTGTTCACTCCCAGTATTAATTTCGTTAAATACATCGCACGGAAATTTCTGCGAATCATGGAGAGAGAGCGAGGGCGTTTTGGAATGAATAAATGTTCGCGCGCGGTGAAATGACTTGAAACAGCGCCAAGGATCATTGACTCGCGTACCTTGTTATCCTGTCACGGCGGAGTGTTAATGTCGATTCCACAACGGTGTATCGATGCGTGATAAAAGTGCGGATCAAATCTCCGATTGTTGAAACCGCGGAGCAGCGCGGCTATATGGCGCCGAAAATACGTCGTACGAAAAATCCGCTTGGCGGAAAAAATGATGAACGTGGGATCTTTTTCGCTCGCATGGAT